GATCTACAGTACCCCTCATTTGGGCTCCAGTGAAACCCAGGCTAAGACAGAGAGTGCTGTGACACTACAGCCTCAGCCCAGCTGCCAGAGACTTATGGTGCCGCAGGGCCTTGAGGAAGATCTCAGGCCCACTGCTGGGATTCAGGGGCCAAAAACACATTTTCCAGAGTGATTTTGTGAAATTGAACAGAAACTCTGTTACTGGGGGAAAAAAGATGTCACAGCAGTGATTATGGCTTGATAGACTCTCTGAGTTCCTGCTGTTTTCTGGCAATATCAGTTTTGTGAAAACCACAGTCTAATTAAATTGCTCGACATGTGACAGTCACAATTAAATGCAATACAAATGGACTGCTCACACAGAGACAGGGATTTTATATTTGCTTTCATTGAAGATTTGAAGAGATATGAAAATAGTTTTTTTTCTTCTCCTGTTGGCAGTGTTAGAAAGCTCTTTGTATTTTGCATATGTCTTCATGGGTTTCCTGAAGTAGATAAGACTCCTGAGTGTCAAATCACAAACCCGACAAGGCGACAACAAACTTCAGCCTACAAGCTTTTTCCACAAAATAGGTATTTTCTATACACTCATTGCTTGAACAACCGCTTTCCTGCTAGACTAATATCCTGAGGCAGGTATGACGACACATGTCATCATCCAGGGAACATGCCTGGGCCGGGTTTCTAAACTTTTGGGAATTTGCCTTTTTCTTTGTTAACCTTGGCTCCACACACTGCATTTAGCAGCAAATTATCACAGAGAAAGGGGCTAATGTAGCAGGGCTTCCCTTTCCCAGAGAGAAGACAAGGCACATCATGTCAAAGGGTCTAAAACAACTATAGCCATGTATCACCCACTTCCTATATACAATCCCTTAAAAACACAAGAGGTTGTTGCTCCACTAAATCAGTATGTATCATTATTACATTAAGGGTTCTCTCTTATTCTGTTCTGGCTAATCCCAAAAAGTAAAATGTGTCTTCCTGACTATTAAGCAGTAAACAGCACTCTTGACCCAGGGAAGAGACAGAAAACCCTTCCATTGGCTAATGTATTGCATACTTAATAATAAAAAGAGAAAACCTCACTAATGACTGAGGTAATTCACTTATTTGATGCAGCACTATGCAGATATGCTTTTACTTCTTCAAACACATCAAACATGTGCAACTCTTTGGGTTGTGTTGAAAAGAAAGACTGGAGCTGGGTAATAAACATTTCACATTTAACTCAAATATACACTGGACATAAAAAACTCAAGCAAGATAGCGACTGAGGACATGAGGGCATGCAAATGACTCTTCACTGAAAACAATTCACCTAAATACTCAATGTAAAGCAGCTATTTCCGAGAAATTGTTCCTTTAATAAACTTCCAGGATTTTTATCACAAACTATTTTTCCGTAACAATAAAATGACTACCTAACATTTTATGAGTTGCAGCGCAGATGGACTGTGAGAGAAAACGCCCCAAAAATCCTTTAAAAACGAAACAACTCGTCCAACTATGTAATTTGTTGAATCTTACGCACCTTTTTACCAAGGCTTTCGCCACTGTATAGTTAGTTTAATAGGTTTATTTTTCCGCTACTTCCCCCCCCACCCCCTTAACCTGTCTGCCTTTTTTCCCCTACTCCCCCCCCCCCCTACCCGACTTGTAAAGCGACCTTGGGTTTCCTGAAAGGCGCTATAAAAATATTATATATTATTTATTATTATTATTACGCATATAATTCACACACTATAGGTTCCAAGGACAGCAAAAAGTTATAACCCCCAAGAAAAGTGTAGGGGAGACATTTCCATTAATAACAGGATAGAAACACAGAGATAAACTGCAGTGTCATCACATGCACTGTGGTGCGGATATTATAGCATACACAAAGTCTATATTACCCTCACAACTGCATGTGAGTTCATGTTCCCCCTTACTTTTGTTTTGCTAGCACGCTATGGGGAGGAAGATAATCCTGCCTAACCTGGGATTACACAGGAGGAGAGTCAAGGGAGATGGATTCAAGTATGCACTCACTGTCACAAGCGATTATACACCGATAACATGGAAGACGTATAAGATCAACTTGGCAGATGTTACTGCAGGCTGTAACGGTTCAGAGGATTTATTAGGTTGAGGTACTCACGAGGCAGAAATAACAAACAAAACAGGCATGTTTAGGAGGGCGCTGCAAACTTGCAGGGGCTGCCATGTGAGCAAAACATTGCAAGGCAATTTACCGATCTATCTTTAAATCGTATTTATTTGAGAAACACAAGGAAACTTTGAACATAGCTGGGGAGTTTGACCTTCATAAGTAGCACATTAATGGACTGAACAATCAATGTTCTTTTGCTGCCTCTTTGTAGCTCAGTAGAAGAAAAAAACGAGACGGTAGTGAGTGCCTGGAATGAAAAACAAAGGCCACAGCAGTGTGTCTGTCAGTAGGAACATCCCTGATGCTGACTGACTGGTGGGAGGTAGACAGGGCTTCTGCTTCACAAACAATTGACTGGGAATGCCGGGGCTTGTGTGTGCTCAGGTAAGCTCACCTGAATGCACCCAAATGCTTAGGACACGAGACGAGGGCTCAAGGCCCACGAAATACAGCAAATAAGTGACTTATTTGCCAAGGCAAGTTAATAAAGTGAAACAGCAACTTTTACTCTTGATTTCAAAACATAATTTATATCACTCAACAAGACATGTAAGTAGAGTTTATCATCCTTTTTAGTCAATTCTATTTTATCATAAATCACAAATATTTAAAGTGAAAAGTGTTTTGTTGTGCGATGTTTGCATCGAATATTTACTATGCCAAAAGTGAAGAGGAGTTTGGCTAGTCCAACGTACAGTAGATTATCATTTTGGCTCTGAACACTCCAAGTTTAAATGACACATCAAGCAGCAGATACATCGCTGCCAAAAGGAACTCAATTTAAGAGAGCCCAGAATCCATCTATCACAGAAGCTATGATCTCAGCTCCAACAGCTAAAGCAGCCACTGGTATAATATTTCAATTGAGCCTGATGAATGGCTTGGCACTATTCATTAGTAAATTAGTGTCCTACCCTGTAACGGGAGCCAGTTGCACTTTATTTGGGGAAGAGGTGAGGATAAACTGAAAATGATTGTGCTTAGTAGGACATTTTCCAGCTACTTAAGTTACGCTGTTTATAAACAGAATAATCACTAGTTACAACCCTATGTTCAATCCTTTCTATTGGGGTTGTATAAATGTACTTTTTACACAATGACTACCACCATAAAACTACATACATTGGCTGGAACTTTGATTTACAAATATTAATAAGCAGTCCTTTATATACTGAGAACCGTGCGCACATTCATGGTTCATCACAGCTGTTAGTCAAAGCTTCTGGATTCCCACTGAGCAGCTGCGAAATGAAAAGTAACTTTTCACACCAAACATGTTTGCAAAGTGCAGTTTCAATTTCCCAATGAACTTGATGTGAGGAGGGGAATGTTTTCCCCTGCTGAACATGACATACTGCAGCTGTGTGCCGGTGTACACCGTTCAGCTCCTCTCCTACACGACTGTTCAAAGAGCTGGAGGCTCTGTCTGAGGATTTAGGGCAGCCACCAGCACAGCTTAAATCTTATTATTAAAAAAAATGTCACTGACTGCCTCACGAGCTGCAGTGCAGTATGTGTCGAATCCCTTATGGAAGGTCTTCCAACATAACTCTTTATCAATTTGTCAAGCCATTTAGATGCCACTGTAAAGCACAACACCCATGCCACAGAATAACATTTTAAAGATATGTGATGTGTCCGACCATTGCAATTTCATGTTTTGTTTCAGGACATGACCAAGAACAAAAAAAGACATATCTTTTTTTTAATTAAACTGCCATTTCCCAGAACTCAATCTTATACATTACCTTTTAATTGCCAGGTTTGAAAGATAAACTACCAGTATGGGATGCAAGTATGTCATCAAGCATAGAGAAAGCTAGAAAGAGAAAGAATGTGACAGAGGGAGGGAAGTCCGGAGAGATCCATGACAAATACCCCGATTGAGACAATAATAAAGGGACCAACTGAACCTCGCACAACAACAAAAGAGCTCTGCTTGGCTTTTGCCAGCAGCTCAGGTGAAGCACTTCCATTCAGTATCACCTCCTGATAAGGAGTTGTCCTCTGCATTTTAGTCATCACTCATTAGCATGCCATCTACCTGTTGGCATTGATGTTAACCTGTCTATTATTCAACTGAAGCTACAGATTAGTCCCGACTGGAGAGATGAGAAAATGTGAACGGAGGCCCACTGAGGTGCTTGTGGGAAAAGAGGGCCCCTATTAGAGAGGTGCTTTGTGCTCACTCATCACAGCTGAAGGGTAGCAGAAAGGACACACTGTCAGGCACACTGCTTCTAATCGGCAACACCGGCATGATTGCCTCAAACCATTCACTGATTACATATCTACAGTGGAAGGAAGGTCTTTGTTAATTGTTTTACTAATTATTGACTTGATAAATCATTCATTAATTTCCAAAAGAGGAGGTCCTTGCATGGAAATCATGGGTGATCATGGGTAAAGTGGTATAAAACTGAGCTACCTAAAGATACTGCAGTCATACTAACGTTCGGATTAAAAGTAAACAAGCATGGAAGCTCTGGCATTCAGATTTGTTTGGCCAAGTCATTAGATGAATGGAAATCATCAAAGCTTGACATACACAAAGTTATATATAAATATTACATTTTGCTTTCATCATTTTAGGGCACTGTGAAATTGTTGTTCGGCGATTTCTACCTACTGTGCACACATATTTTGCTTAGTCATTTTGCATACTCTAGCCTTTATCTGTATCTTTCCCTTTGATATTATATTTCCCTTATAACATTTGTTTTCTTAAAGTTAAACATGAGACAGTGAATACAAAAATCTATATTACAGCCTCAAAAGTCAGCATCTCAATGTGAGCTTTTCAGAATATAATTTCAAGAGGGCATGTTTGGGATATGTAACTTACCGCTGTCTTCGATGGAGAAATAGAAGATGTCATTTGTAGCATTGTCACCATCTCTCAGAACATAGCATATGTTCATGTCGTTAATTTCAGCTGAAAAAGAGAAACATTTGCATAAATATCCATGCTTCTGCTGAAGAAGGTTCACATTAGTTAATTGGCTGAAATGGCAAGTGGGAAAATATGTCCAATATGTTCCTGACAGACTATTTGCCAATTAATACTTGTGATCCCTGCTATAAGCAGGCTGAGGCTATATGAAGAAATGTGCCCACTGCATAGTGTCGGGATGGAGAAACTGCTTGGTAACACAGGCTTTATATCTATGACACAGAACATAACATGTAGTTTGATTGTTGGAGAGAAGTCACAGCAGTCAGTTTGCCATCGTTGTGATAGACATGGTTCTTTTTTGCTCTGGATCTGGAAGATTGTGAAGTTAACACGATGTCTTTAATATTTGATATCAAAATATTTCCCCCTAAAAGGACCGATGCATTAAAATGCATAGCCAGGATTTCAAAATGCCCAATAGAGAGTGCCTTTTATTTACCGTCTGTTTATTCTAGTGAGAACTCTTGAGATATTGAACAGGCCTCGTGGGGAAAGCATCTCACAGTGACTTGGTAAATTGAAGCAGGGATTACATGGATATTGAACTAAACACTGATGCTGTTTCCCTGATATTTAGCATACCAAGCTTTACAAAACCCTCTGGTTTATTTAACTGTTGTAGTCATGTTTGCAAAACCAGTGGTCGGCTTTGAGCCAGGCTACCACCTGCCTTCTATGTTAGAATATATAACTCTGGTAGTGTACAAATCACCATCAATTCTATCCCAAAGTGAAACACATTAAGCAGTGTTTGAAAAATGCACTCTTTTAGTGAGATCTGTTCAGCCTTAGGCACACGCATATTTCATCTCTGTAAATAGGCAGTCTCTTGAGTGAAAACAAAAACCTTATGTTTGAACTCAGCATTTTTCAGGCTTCACAGGGGAGTACATTTGAGTTTTAAAATGGGCTCTAGTGAATTAAAAATGTGAATTAATTCAGTATGTTACAAAACTAACAGATTGTCACAAGATTTCAAAACAGTTTTGAAATGCATCTCTCTTACCTTGCGAGAAGATGGAGATAGTGGCATTTCCCTTGCCAAGGTTGATCAGGTAGCCGTGTTCTGGGGCGATAGTAATCCTAAAGGTCACAGATTTTTGGATGCTGCCTCTGTCCTCTGCTCTAAGGGTCTTACTGGTGATCACAAACCCCAGGTGACCAGTCTCCAGAACCCGCAATGTTGGGGCACCCTTGTTCACCACAATCTGCGGTACTCCATTATCCACGGGGAGGACTGTTATCTTCATCATTTGGGGCTTTCGAGTCTCAAAAACTGTGTCGGGGAAGATGAAGAAGTCTGTATGGGTGCCATCAGTTACAGTAAAGGAGAAACTATCCTCTGCACTCTCTGTGCCATCATGCTTGTAGCTGATCCTGTTCTCATTCAGGTCCTGCTTTGTGAAAGAGGTGACAGGCCGGGTGTTGTTAAAGAGCAGGCGACCATGAACTGGGATTTGAGTGACTGTGAACTTCAACAAGTGGTCAAAGGTGTCTCTGTCCTCCACTGTAAGCTCAAAAGGCGTGATAAGTTTGTTCTCCCCCTCAGTTACCACCAGGCCGTGTATTGTCACCACAGGCTTTTTGTTGTCCACATCAGTGATGGAGATGCGAAAAGTGCGGAACACAGGGTTATAGCCATCAGTCACTTCAAATTCAAAGCTATCCATCTTCACTTCATCGTCAGAGGTATGGATGTAGTAGACTTTGTTGCCAGCCAGCTGGAGCTGTGTAAAGGATGAGATGGGCATCCCAGGTGTGTCTGTGCACTCAAGGTGTCCTCTCATGGGAGCTCGGGTGATTGTAAAAACCAAGTGTTCATCTGGGCTGTTGAGGTCACTGGTACTAAGCAGGTCTGTTGTCAGAGAAACCCTCCCACCCTCTTTAAGGGATACACCTTTACTGATAACATCTGGGAAAACCATGTCAATGCCACCCACTGTGACATAAAAGTATCTGTCAATCAAAGGGTTGATGCCATCCGTCACATCAAATTTGATGAGGTCTCGAATCCCCTCTTGCCCATTATGGATGTATACAATTAAACCCTGATCAATTTCATTCTGTGTAAAGTTCATTCCAACTGTGATATTTTGCAATGTGCCAAAAGGTGTTGCCATCTGTAAATATCCCTGGCCAGGCCCATAGCGAATAATATAAGTTAGCATGTCATCCTCTGAGTCCAGATCGGTAGCTTTTAAAACATTGCTGTTTATGACTCTCACATCCCCTATCTCAATTTCAAGGCCATCATTTATTGCCATCCTCGGGGTCTCGTCGTCCACAGGGATAATCATAACTATTATAGTTTTCTCTACACTGAACTTTCCGTCTGTGAGCACAATATCAAAGCTGTCCTCTGTGCTCTCTGAGTCATCGTGCTCATACACAATGCTAGAGGCCTCCCTGATCTGATCCAAGGTGAAGTTAGAGACAGGGATGGTTCCAGTAGTGAGCTGATTGAGGATAAATCCGTGCTTGGGGGTTTTGGTAATGATGAATGTTAACTGATCCAAAGGAAGATCTGCATCAGCACCATTCAGAATGGGAGTGTCAATGACTATGTTCATGCCCTCCATAACTACAAACTCTCTCATGTAAATCTCGGGCTTTTCATCATTAGAGGGGATTATTGAGATGGGGAAAAAGTGCCTTTCAGAGAAATTGATGCCATCAGAGCATCTGAACGTAAACCTGTCCTCCACTGGCTCAACTCCTTTGTGAATGCTTTGAACATAGTAAATGTGATTCTGTCTGATGTCCTTGATGGTGAAAGCACTGATTGCAGTCCCAGACCTGGATTTCTCTGAACCTGGGGAAGGGGAGATATTTTCCACATATCCTGAAGTCGTCTGTACAATGATTGTACAAAGGAGGTCATCGTTGGAGGTGTCTGCATCATCAGCACTTATATGAACAACTTGAATTACATTCTTCTCTCCCTCAACAACAGTGAAAATTGGCCCCACAAAGACCTCTGGAGCTTGGCTGTCCAGGGGAAGAATAGTTACATGCACTCTGACACCGGTGATCTTATTTCCTCCTACAGTCCACTCATCAGACATGTCTGTCAAAGTGAGATTAAAAATGTCCTCCCTTGTGGTCAAGCCTATCTCCCCACTGGTATGAGCATAGACCACAAAGCCGTTAATAATATCAGATTGGGTGAATGTGCTAGAGGGTACACCTTTCACCAGAATTTCACCTAATGATGGTGGGTCTTCCACAATGAAGGTCAAGCGGAGGTCATCCGTGTCCTCATCTCTTCCCTGAATTACATTACTTGTGATTTCCGTTGCTCCATTTTCCAGTACATCTATGTAAGAACCAAGTGTGCCAGCTGGGAGATTGATAGTTGGAGTTTCATCATCAATCGGCTTCACAATAATCCTTATAGTAATTGGGACAATGTGGACACCATCACTGACATCTATTTGTATTGAATCAACTGTTGATTCATCTCCATTATGGATGTATGAAATCCTGTCATTTCCAATATCCTCTATGCTGAAAGTGTCCCCTTTTGTCATGTCAGTGAATGTGAACTGAATCTGGCCATGCAATGGAGGCTGAGTAATAGTGAAAGATATCTGTTTGCTGTCTGTGTCTGTGTCTGAGGTGTCCAGCTCAGCACTAGTAATGATATGTGTGCCGCGTTCAAGCACAGTAAATCCAGAGTTGGTTATTTGAGGGGGATTGTTGTCTACAGGCTTTAAAAATATAGTGAAAACGTCTTCTACAACATTTCCAGAAACATCCTCCACAGTATACTGAAACTGCAAAACATGACTGGTGATTCCAAGCTCTAAATCAGGCGGTTTGTAAGCTATTTATGGTGGTTAATTTGTGCCTGAGTGAAAATTGTGACTACAGTGTTCGGATTTTCCGTTAATACCAAAGTTCCCAATACAACAGGACTATTCTCATCAGTATCCGTCGGTGGCTGGATGACTGTGTATCTGAGATCCCGATCCTCTGAGTCCAGGTCAGTGTAACGGAGGAATTTCTTTCTTAAGTAAGTAAGCTGATACTCGTGCACAGTCATTTGCAGAGTTGTGCCGGGGTACAGTTCAGGTGCGACGTCGTCAACGGGGAGAATTTTGATAATAAATGAGCTGTCTCCAGATTGGTTTGGTGGGTCATTGTCATCTTGAACTCTAAACACAAACTGATCCATAACTGTGCTAGCACTGTGAGGCCCAATGTGCTTGTAAAACAGTTTTCCATCGGTAATATCCTGCTGCAGCCATTCACTTATTACTTTCTCATACAATTCATCCTCTGTATTAAACTTCCAGTCTGATGGGTCCTCTGGGGCCTCAGACTGACGCAGCATCACCTGTCCAATTGTGGAAAAGGGAGGCTCTATTGTGAATTTTATTGAAGAATCTTCTGAGTCAATGTCTGCTGCACTGAGCATGAGTGAGGAGATTGGCATCATTTGGTTTTTAAATAAAACCAACCCAGTGTTGGCATTGATTATGGGAGGCTCGTCATCAGTTGGCACGACAGTGATGGGAAACAGAAACTCAACCTCATTTTTGCCATCTGTCATTCTGAAAATTATATTATCACTGTATGTGTCACTGCCATCATGTTGATAAATGACCAATCCAGCATCGAGGTCAGCCGGGGTGAAGAATTTCCTCCTCAAGCCAAGAACACTCAATTCTCCATGCCTCAGCCCATCAATAACAGTGATTTTGACTTTGTCCAAACCGTCCTCATCACTGATTTGTAGACTCTGTGAACTGGACAGAGGCCTGGATTGACCCTCATACAGTAACTGGCCAGTATTCCTAGTCACCACAGGGGCCAACGTGTTCATAGGCTTAACAACAATCATGAAAGCAAAAGGGTCTGACACAGCCCCCTCTGTGTCCACAACCTCAAACTCAATCTGGAAAATCCGCTCAGTGTCTGAATCCACAGCAGGGGGTTTATAGGCAATTTTCAAGTCTTTGAGGTCTCCTTGGTAAAATGAGGTTATTGGTAAATTCCTATCATCAGTGCTCACTATGTAGCCTTCCTCAAAGGACAGGGTGGAAGTGATGTTAAAAATTAATTCATCAGAATTAGACTCTACATCCTCTGCAGCCAGCATATCCATAGTTATTGCTGTCATTACAAATTGGTCTACTTCCATCATCATCATTGCAACAAAGCTGGGTTTAGGAGCACTGTTATCCTCTCCCTCTTTAATCCTTACCAAAATTTGGAACAATTCCTGCTTTAGCAAATTGCCTTCCTTATCATGTAACTCCACAAGCATTGGAATGTAATCTCTGTTTGGTGACTTCAAAGCAAAAGTATGCTGATAACGGATGTTCATTTGAATAAATTCATCACAGTCCAACATTGTTCCAAGGCTGTCCTCATCCACAAGTTTCCCGTACCTGGGGAGCACGCTGCCACTGAAGAGAGAGCCTATTTTGCATTGTGCTGTACTTTTATCATAGGTGAATTCTAAAATTCTTCTATCGATGGGGTTACTCGTGCCAAGCAGTTTCTCGACAGTAAGTGGCATGTTTTTGGTAAGCACTTCCAGCTGTGTGAAAATGACTTCCACCTCCATCATAAAAGGTATTATAATCGTATCCGTTTGGGTGTCATACCTGAGTTGTAATCTCACTCTATCCCCCGGAGGACTCCTGGAGCCAAAGTGAGAATACTTCACGTCGTTGGGGCCAAATTCACACGGAAACTTTTTCGGAGACAGGTGTCCAGGCCTTTGAGACAAGGGATCATTGTCCAGAACCGTTATGCTGCATCTATCGCCTGGCTGAACTTGTATAACCAAATCGTTGATGGGATCAATGAAAACTGATCTCCCGAAAGGCACGCGGATCCCATTATTGGCAACCAATATCGTGTCCTCTGACAGCTCAGACCTCAAGGCGTATGATAATCCATAGCTGTCAAAAACCTGCGAAACTGCATCACCTGTCAGAATCACCGCAAGCAGAACAAAAGCAGCGCCAGTCCCGTGCAGATGCGGGAAAATAATCCAAGCCATTTGTATTGTGGAACCGCAAAGGAGACACGTTGAACTTTGTGCATACACCCTCGTAAACTAAGTAGCGTTAAAGTTGCAAGAATATAAAACCAGAGTCGGATAATATCACGCACCTACGGACACTAAGGTGCACCATTCTCTCACACAGCAGCTGTACACTGATAACATAAACTTCATACTCCTGCTTTGCTGGAGTAAGGAGAGTTACGCCCTCCCCTCAGCCGATTGGTTAATATCTCTGGGAATGCATTTGCCAGGTTTTAAATGGACGTGGTTTGTGTCATTCTAGAAAGACAAAACGATGCCGCGTGGGCTGGACCTCGTCAGGTTGGATATGGTTAGAACAATAAATCAAATAGGCGATCTTTGAGCATAATGCAAGATTGATATGTATGACCAGTAGTTATATTATGATCAAAGTACTTCATTTTACACGCATTGTCTTTGAAATATATTGTAGTCTATTGAATCAGAGCTATTCAATCACTTCAGACTATTCCTAACAATGAGGGAATATAAGAAGTAGCCCACAGCTGTATAAAAGTCTTCACTGACAATCTGGAGAAAAGCTTTGTCTCCCTCTCGTGGTTGCCACTGCTGAGGAGGGAGGATCCTTCACACACCCTTCATTAGCAGCATAAATCACATACCTCCCTCGATTCTATGCAAATTCCCTACCTTCTTGTCACTGATAAACACCGATTGCATGACATTGCATGCTCAGTGCTCCTGCAGTATATTGCTGTATGTTAAGTAACATCCCATGAAGCAGATTGTGAAGGTGTGATGGGTGACATGGTATGTAGCCTACATAGTCATCACAACAGAGTTGAGTGAAGGCACTACACACTGTTGACTATCATTGTCATGCAATTGCAGCCAATATAGCCACAATAGAGCTACTCCTCTTGACAGCTTTCACCCTGTAAAGTAACCCACAATGCACTCTTAAAGCATGAGTCAAGAATCTATGTATTTGAGTCATGCAGTTGAATTGTCCTATTTCCTGCTAAGCTGCCTCCTCATCACCCAGGTCCTCCAGGTGTGAGCCGCTTCCCCCAGCAGAACATTCTCCTCTGACTTCTGACAAGCCCAGTCATGATCCAGTCATGATCTCTCCGCGCTGCTCATGTGGATAACTGGTGTTTATTAACAGGACACACACACACAGACATTGTGCAGCACAGCATGGGAGGTTAAAAAGTTTGTTTATCTTTGCCATGTAAAGTTAGATAAAATTGGTTATAATGGGTCTCTGAAAATGTTGACCATGTAAAGTAATAGTCTTAGCAGGCTTCACTATGGTGTTTGTAATGTTTTCCCATTAACATTAAACTCAACAGTGGTATGCCTTGTGCATAGCTACAGACACAGCTGTTATGCATGTTTGATTTACCCTACAGCCTTATATTAGATGTACAAACATAGCAATGCTCCTATGTCAATGTGAAGCAACCCCAAGGCCCTGTTGCCTGGAAAAAACTGACTTCAACTGTGCTCAGTCCCCTCTGATCACTGTGAGATGCTTTTCATTCCATCCACAAATAAATGGTGACTCCATTGTGTCTGCACCTACCTATTGTTGCACATTAATGACATATAAACCGCCTCACAGCCGGTATGTGTTGAAATGGGTACACATAGCTGCCAAAACAAACTGTGCAGTTGAGTTGCACTGGACACTGTTGACAGGGTCCAATTATAAATACAGCCAAGCAAACTGTAAGGCAAAGCCCCCAGGCCTTGACAGCTCCTAGTTACAAGAGAAAATGAAAAAGAAGATGAATAGAATTTTTTGACAGCAGCCATGGCAGAGAGGGAATTGAATCATACCCAAACCTTCAGGCTTATTTTTGAGGTGAAGGGAAGTTTGATGATATTCCGTCAAATCACATCTATATCAAATGTATTGTAAGTGACCAATCCTTCTTAGAAGCTAGAACTGTTGGTCTATAAAGGAAGTGAGGATGCCAATTCTACTCCTGATGTGCCAATTGTTTTAATCGGGTGCAAAGATACATGTTGTGGGTTAGAGGTTTAGGCTGAAAATATTGCAGCTCAGCTCTTTTATTAATTTTTATCAGAACAACAATACATGTATGCTTTCAGGATGCTCATCCATTTCAATGTGTACTCACTCCCAAGCACAACATATTCAGGGCTGTTTGTTCAGAAGCTCATCGGTTTTTGCTTTCTTTGTGTCTGTTACGAATAGAAGCCATCTGTGTTCTGCTTTGTAATAACTCTAATGACAGTTTAAGAATGGAAGACAATAACATATATTATTTACATTACATGAATCCATAATCTCAGAATATCCAGATTTCTCTGTTATTAACAGGAAGGCTAACTTTCTATTCCTCCCTGCTTAATGCCGTCTCTTCTCAAACACACTGACAGGCCAAACACTGAAAGGCAGCAGGGCATCATTTAGTAAAGGGAGTTAAAAGAGATATGTATCATGTAAGGTGCTCTGAGAAGTGTCATGATGTCCACCTGATACTTGATGAGTAATGCTGGTTGGACCCTTGGTGTGTTCATTGCAGAAATCTGTAGCCAAGCCAACCATTTGTATTTCTCTGCATACTTGTAGCATACATCACATTTTTAAATACATGGGGGACTATGACAGTTTGGAAAGTGTGGACTGTCTGTGTTTGATAATAAAATGTCAATATTAGAGATGATGTTGATGTCACAGCACTGTTTGTGTCAGTGTTGCTAAAGCGACTCCATTCTAACAATACCTTGGGCTATAATCAGGGCTATTTCTGTTGGTGGTTTTCCCTGGAGACACTACAACCCCAGCCTCCTGATCTCATAAGGCTATTTTAGTTCATTATGTCTTTGTCAGGGACAATACTTTTGATGATTGAGGCTGAAAGGTTGCAGCAGCTACTCTGAAGTCTTCCACTATAAAGGTATATTGTGTAACCCATAGACACAACGCAGAGCCAACCAGCAGCCATATCCATCTTCCCCCAGCTTATATTACTCTTGGGATTCTACAGATCTAAAAAGGCGGCAGAAGTTTAATCACATTCTTTATGTGTGCTCCACAAAATCCCCAGGTGTTTGGACCATGCATTAAGACATATCGCCTGAGCAATCATAGTGCTTACAAACATAGCAATGCTTATTTAGGTTTATTTACAGAAAATAAATTAATTGCTCCGCAGAAAACAAAGAAAACTAAAATAGATAAAAAGAAATCTAGGACAATCGAAAGGAGAGGAAGAACATTTAATTTCGTAGTGTTGGGTTTAAGCTCCCTGGCTACATTAACCTCCACATGAAACAGGGGATAACCTAATGCTTTCATCAAAGGTTTAACTTCACAATGCAAGAGTTAAATCACATAATCATCTTCTAAATAAAAAAAAGGCTTATTTAGTAGTATTTAATGCAATAACTGAAATACAAATCATAACACTTTGTCCCTTGGGGGCAGTTTCCAACACCAGTAGATATGAACTGGCAGTTTGGTAAAAATCTAAAATCTATTATTGATACAGAATGTTGATAAAAACGAAAAATAAATGAGTCGACAGAATTTTTTGTTTGTTGTTTAACGACACTAAAGATCCATGTTGTCCCAAAATGCTACGTATGATCATTTTCTGTCATGCATCGTTTTACTTGCAGAAAGGATGCCAAAACATTTAAGCCAGTGTTGTAACACACAGTCACTCTGAACTTTTTTAGATAGTAATAGCTTAATGTTGTTGCACTCTTGTCAGGACACCATTTTACAGAAATACTTTAAAGAGGTATAATGTGTAATGCTGATGCCCAAAAGCTTCTGAAAGTGCAAAAACGATTTTAGGGGCACCAGGGCACTGTCAAAACAACTTTTTAATGTATTTTAACTACCCTGACTCATAGGGACAGAAGTAAAAGCCAATCAGCAGACATTTAACCATTCATCCGTGACTAAAAACTGCGTCATTGACTTCAGACTTTTATGTTGTTAAAAACTCAAAATCTTTGGCTTCCTGTGGAGATATGGTCGCCTACAGGCCAAAGGTTACATCATTTAATCGGATTGCTGCCAGATACCCCGCAGGCCTTCGTTCTCCAGATGAGTTTTAAAGCTGAGAGGCACTTAACATGTTTGCCCACCCCGTGGGTTGAGCTCATTTTCACTGTGCAAAAAAAGAGAAATGAGAATTCACCTGATGGGAGATACTGTGTGCCATCTGCACGTTGTCACAGCAGCAGAAGAAAAATGCTTGTATCAGTTTTTGAATTGACTATTTATAACAAATGGGCACATTGTGTAGTGAATGACGTCCACATTGAGAGGAAATAGATTTTTTTTAAACTAAAGAAACTTCAGCCACGAACAAACATTATTTTCTAGAAAGTTGGAATGAACAGGCTCTCCAAGTATTTGCCTGTAACGGACTTAACAGCTGCATATTCTTGCCATTCCTCCATTGTGCATTTTTTCTCCCTTTGAGTTTCCAGTTTCTGCTGAGCTTATTGCGTTCTCTTTCTACCCGGTTTGATCTAAAGTTGGGGACTAAGTCAGCAACAATATCATCTAGATGAAACAGAGTGCATTCACTAGATGCTCAGGAAAAAGCTGCAGACTCGGCAAATGTGGGGGCAGTAATGCTGTCACTTGGACTGGGTTTCAGTGTTGTCATTGTTATGTTATTATCCAGATTTATTTTTTAGGGAGGGGACCAAGTACATTTTGTTGGATTTACTCTGACATAATACAATGTACTGCCTTGGATTGACAGCGCCTATGTGAGTGCCTATTGTTCCAATTGTCTGGGGAATGTCTCAAATATGTCTTAGTCCCCCTACCAAGCTGTAATTGACTTAATCTTTCCATTAGCCCCAGTTGCCAAGGTCATCTGTCATCTGTTCTGAGTTAAGTGTTGTTAAAAGGTGCGTTTTGTACTTCCTGCATAGATGTGACTTTAAGCTACAGACCTAACAGTGATTTTTGACCCCATTCCCCTCAGCACTACACACAAACATGCACA